GTCCTGCATTGTGTTCCTTTTTGAATCTGAAGCACACCTGTGAACCACCATGAGACCAATCTCAGTGTTTGTCATTTGGTTGTTCTTTTGTATTTTTTATCATTATTATTATTGTTAAAAAATTGGTTTAAAAACTTAAAAAATCAAAGATTTTGTTTTCTGTGGTTCCATAAGATGTACAGACACTTATCTTGCAACTATCTGCAGCCTGTGCTACACTTTCAGACAGACACTGGAGAATGTATTAATGGGATATGATTTAATATGTGGTGTGAATTTAAGTTTTACAACCTCTATTCGTGTCACTATATTTTTCAATAAACTGCATGACTGTCACAGGGCTAACATAAATAAAAAGACCAATGTTCTCACCTGGACATGGTGGTTCTGTTGTATCACTTTCTGGAGGAAAGCTCCTGATGTTTCCAGATTCCATTAAGATCTCCACCTTTTATAGTTTGATAATGTGTCTGTTTGTTGCAGATGTTAAAGTATTTAAAGTTGATTTGAAATTGCAGTGCAGTAAAAAGGAAGTTGCTTTGTGGACCCATCAGTGTAAATTATATTATGTTTACCACAGCCATGTTGCTCGGGTCTATTTTACTCATAAACACACCTAAATGTGTGTTCCACCGCTTGGGTGTTCCCTTTATTAGTTTTCTATACAGGATAGCAGAACGATTAAATTGCGCTCCGTCTCCCCACATCACTTCACCTTTTGTTTTCCAGATTGCAATAGCAAACAAGTCACACATGGGAATGGGAGGAGGGAAATTGTCTCAAATGAAAACACCAGCAAATAACAGCGATGTCGTTTTCACTTTGCAGCGTGGTCAGTGCATCGGAGCCGTTTGGCAGGTGCATTGTGAAGAAAAGCCTCCAGAGGAATTAGTCATTTGTTAGACATTTATTTAAGTCAAAGGCAGTTGGTTGGCCTTGATTGAATTCTTGTAGATTGCACACCTCAGACAAGAAATTGTTCTTAATCTGGTGGGGGAAAATACTATTTTTTCCCCACAATCTTGATGGATATTTTTCAGCTGGCCAGACTTGTCTCCCCTCAAAGTTTCAGGAGCCCCAGTCTATTACATCTTCCTTTTTTTTAAAGATGGCAATTAATCTAATTAGTAATCAATCAGCCAATGGGCCTCCCGCCTCTTTTGTGCTAATGGAGGATATGACAGGCCTGGGCCTTGTATTATTAATACCTCCATTTTAGGAGCCCAGGGCCCCCATGATGCATATGGTCAGGGGCCATTGATCACCACCATAACCCAGTGAGCACCGCAAGGACTTGGGGGAAATATCCCAAGTTGTGGAAGTGGAAATGGGAAATGTGGTATTTTTAGTTTGTGGTGGTATAAATTTGTTTAGTAGAATTTAAAGTAATTTGGAGAAGAAAATGATTTTACCATCTTTGCTCAAAGCTAGAGATTAAACCGTTATGAAAAAAAAAATCCAAATGGTGAGACATTAATCTTTTGGTGCATGAAATCTGCAGGGAAGTTAGGGTGCATGTTTGAAAGAGAAGAGTGATTGTTTTAGTGGTGTTAATGGGAACGTAGGGCTCCAAAAAGCTCATTAGGTAAATGGGGCTCACTTCAAAACTATTATGGCAGGATAAGGGGCCCCTCTGCGGGACTATTTCTAGAAAATGAGATTAGAAGTTATAGAATGCCACTAACACAGGGGCACAATGATTGTAGTCTGGCAATGAAACAATCACAGGAACATTATCCTTCATCTCCTATGCAGTATGAGAGCCTAATCTAATAGGTTCTGCAGCTGAAGTTACAGAGCTTCATAATAACCCCACCTGCTGATCTCATTTGCTATAATCAATATTGTGCCCACTCTGTTAAAAGCTGGAGCTGCGAATCACTGCAAAACGTCCAAGACAGAAACACAAGGCCATCCTCATCCAGTGTCCTCTTTAGCTGAATCTGCTGACCCTAATTTATCCAACCTGTGTGCCAGTAGCTCTTAATCAGGTTGATTATCCAGTCCACATGTTGTTTTTGAGAACAGGCTGTCTTTTTTGGTGATTCGAAGTGGACAGTCTCTCTAATGAAAATCCAATTATCTCATGTTGTAATGTTCAAATTTGTTGTATATGTGGGACAAGTTTTAAACTCTCCTTGTTCAGTTGGAAACACAATTTTGTGTTTTTAAGGTAGAATTTCATAATTTGTGTTGGAAAAAAAGACTACTGAATTTGTTGGATTTTTGAACTCCTAATTGGTAAATTCTCTTGATTTTAGTTTGGATTCCTTCAACAAATATTAATGAACTCCAAAGCAACCAGTCAAATAAGAGGCTAATGTAACATACATGATTGGAGAACAGAATCGTACACTTGTTTATGAATAGGAACAAAGATCTGGTTCCATTCAGCACTGCAGGTTCAATATTTGAACAACTTGTCATCTTTGTTCCTGCTTTAAAAAAACACCTCAGAGTTTAATTGTGTTACTGTAAATGTTTGTCCAGTGAGCAGCTGTATGCTTCTCTGCTGTGTAATGTATTTGTGTTTTTATTAAAGACCTCAGTATGTTTGCCTCTTCATAGATCATGATGACTAAGATTTGCAACAATGACATTCTGTGTTTGGAACTGCTGTTTCAATCAATAGTCATTGTTTGTTAGCGTGTTTTACAGCGACTGGGGTATCTGTGTGAGACTGTTCAAACGTATAGTTGTATTCTCAGTTTGTCTCTGTGGGCTGCTCAAGAGACAACTTATCTTTGGCCGTATCAGTCACTGACATTAACATGAGTAAATCACTGCTGCTGACTTCTGCTCAATATTCTTGTTTTTTATTCATGTTTTGTTTTTTTTAGGTGATAATGAGGTTCTGTTTATGTTTCAATTTATATCTATGTGGAAGTTCTTCTTATTTTTTACTACTTTAATTCAGGCAGACCACAGACTACTTTTACTCACATTTAATTCTTACCTCTAGCCTCCTGCAGAACTCTACTTTAAACCAGTAAAGGAGTTTTACTGCATTGGGATTACTCTGACCAAGATCTGGGTTTATAACTGTTTTAATATAAGAGACTGGTACAAAATGAGTCACAGGCTTTAAAACAGTACTAAAATCATGAAAATCAGGTGAAATTGTGTACTTTTTGCCAATGAGTTTAAATTAGTTTAATAATAACTTTTTAACCTAGAGGTATTTCTTTTGTCTGACATAACTGTTTTCACTTTGCATTTAGAATTAGAGGTTTGTATCATTTTAACTAGAGCGTAGTAGTAGCCTGTCCTTCATGTGACTCTTTGTGGAGCTTGAAATGGGCGGTCAGAGGTTTGGGGTAAATGAGCCTTCTGTTCGTTGTGTTTTAGGTTTTAAGATAGCATCCTACACCGCCAGGCCCCTTCCTATGACTGAGACGTGCTGTCATTTGGCACAGTGACCATAACAGTTTTACTAGCCAGCCATGTGTTCAGAGTATATTACCGCTTCCCCTCCTCGCTGCCACACAGGTTACGTTGGCACAAAGCAGCATGCTGAAGCTGTCGCACAGCTCTGCTTAATTTACAGAGGGCTGGGGTTGTTAAGAATTTATAGACCTTCAGTGGCTTTATGGTGCTATGATGGGAGTGAGCAGTGGTGTTGAGCTCACAGCAGCTGCAGTCAGCTGCCTCATTCAGGCGGGGATTTAGACAGCAACTCATCTGCTGGGCTGTGTGAGTTGGTCAGTGGACAGGCTTTACTCAAGGCTAAAGTTGGGAGGAATTGCTCAGCGGTCATGATGTCCCACCCCCTCTCTTCACTCGAGCATCTTGTGGTTGTTGGCGTATACATGCAGATTTAAAATGTCTGTCTCCCTGGGAAGTAAGCTTAGTTACAAGAAATCCATCGACCAGTTACCATTCGTCATCCATGATTGTTGTAAATGAATTTAGTGTGTGTGTGTTTGAGGAGTGTTGAGTTTGCAATTATGGACTTACAGGAAGTCCATCAGTCATGTGTCTGAGTGTGATGTGGTTTGTCTGGTGGGGGGAGGGGGGTGAAGAATGATAGCCCACCACACCAACTGCACTAACAGAGCAGCATTGGCCTCAACTCAGCTGTGCTTCATGAATCCTCAAATGTGAAAATCTGAAAAGACCGCAGTGACGTGCAAAATGTGAAGATGACCAAGAGAGCTCTGAGAGAATATGTTTTTGAATCTGTGCTTATGAGAAATTTACAAATTTGGGCATCTTTCTTGGCTCCTGACAACCTCTGTAAAGAAGTTGCCTTAATTTTCTGCTCTCAATGTATTTTTTTATCACCATGATGGGAGTGACTGAGAATCTACAATCTATCACACAAAACTTTGTGTTTTATTTTGCAAGTGTTTCTTTTATAATGCTGCAGATGTCTTGAAGTACATAAGTTTAGTTAGATTAGTTGTTCTGCATAAAACAACATGTATATTGTTAGATACAAAAACAAGTTTTGGACAAAGAATCTTGTGTTTTGCATAAGCGTAGGCATGCTATATGACTAAGGTACGACTGCTGACAATTTGCACAAAGAGAGTGGGCAGAGGTTTGGACATGGGAATCAAATTATGATGAACCCATGGCGTCCTTGGTATGTATACATTTTTCAGAACTTTATCTGATTCAGTGAATGTGTTCATTGTATTATGCAGAAAAAGAGAAAATAAAATCTATTCAAACCTCACTTTGGAGTCCACCCAAACAATTAAAACTCTCAGCTCTTTTACTGTCATCGCCAAATTGTGCTTGTCCAGTGCAGCCCAGCACATCTGGCTGTCTTTATGGCCTCTTTGCTTGTGTTAGCTGTGATGTTATGACAGTACAGTGACTGAGGAGATTACACGGAGAGGACATGAAGCCCCTCTCCATCGGGCCTCTGTGGGTCACTGGCCCCATTTAAGCAAAAAGAGACGGATCCCTGAGGTCTTTAGGCAGTGTGTTTGCAGTCCAGCTGTTCGTATTGTGTTGTCCATTCTCAAGCTGTTTTCTGTTTGCTCTCACAGGAAGTTTATTGAAGACTGAACGTCCTCAACGGGACAACCTCTGAGGGATTTTTCACCTCTAACGTCGCACCGACCACGCCATATTTGTCCTTTACACGTTTGAAAGTGCTTCCTCGGAGAAGCAGAAGCAGCAGCTTGTTGGATCAGAGGACGTGACAAAACTGTAAGATCACTTGAGTTTTCTATTAGTGTACGTTTTTGCTTACTTTTCAACATGAACTGAATATCGACCCATACTCTTTGGCTTTGCTATCTGTGCAAAGAAGAGTTTCTCTACATCAGAAAGCTTCATTCCAGGCACATAGTTCCATTCTATACCACAATCAATATTACCTTCAGCTGTTATGAAAATGTTGCAAATATATCAAAAATAAATTTGACTTTGCATCATAGTTTAAACGTCTTGAAATTTGCCAGTCTCTTTAAGAACCTCCTACCATTTCCCACGCACCCACTTCAGCACATCTTTACAACAGTGCTTCGGGGGAGGGGTGCTCTGTGGGCAGGGAGGAGCTATGTAAAAATAGGCGGGGCTTTGTACCAGCAAGTGTTTAGGCAGCTCCACATGGCTACCACTAGCCTGGCCCTTGCCTTCCTACGCAGCTTCGCTCAATTCCAGTTTCCCTTCTCTGCTCCGTCTGGGACTTCTCCCATTAAGATGGATTTTGCTGGCAGATTTTTAGCTGAGCCAATCGGAACAGAAAGTCAATTTTCTGCTCAGTGTCTGCTTGTAGTATATTTTACCTGGGCCAATCAGCAAACAGAAGGCGGAGTTTTGAATGACGTTGATGTTCTGCACAGTGTCTGCTAGTTATTTTAGCATACGGCAGTGGAGGAAGTGAATGAAGCCAGTCTGTATTGATAAGGCTTCCAAATTAAATTAAATTTGTCTGACAAAGCAGCAGCTCTCGTTCACAGCCGTCTCGTTTGGCTCGGTACTTTTCTCCTCTCAGTAGGGTTGTTTACAGCACACACGATTTCCGGTTAGCTTCTTAGCTTAGCCTCCATCACAGTGACATACCTCGCAGCTAACTGATCCAATCATTTTAAACTTCAGCAGAGGCCACGCCTCCTGCAAGAATCACTTCTCTATGCATCAAGTCCAGACCCTTGTACGAAGCAAAGTGAAGGACAGGGTCTGTTTTTAACCAGGCTAGGCTACCACAGAAGATTCAAGGATTTCTCCCACATGCATGAATAAGTCAAAACAACACTCTGGGTTTGTTTTTGATGAGGGAATGCCATTGTAACATGATATAAAGCTCAAAAAAGTCAATTTTGCACATCTCCAACCCCAAACAATAAACAAACAAAAAGATATAAAGCAGGAAAAAAAAAGCTTTTTGACTAATTTAAAACACGAGAAAACCATGTTACTTGATTTTATTCCTTTCCTCTGATAAATTATTTTATTGACTAATTTAAAAACAGTGTGTCAAGTCCACTCAAACACAACTATTGATTGAGAGTGACAACTTTCACAATGCTGGTAAACACACACACACACACACACACACACACACACACACACACACACACACACCCCACATTAGATTAAAATATAGATTTTTATCAGTTTCTGATCAGGGCTCAGTTTTACAAATTTGCTTCTTGGGACTTCAAATTTGAGGCTGCATAAAATATTCTGATGGGAACATACAAGTGTAAATTATTTCAGGGATTCCAGCTGATGAGGGAGTCTTCCTGCATGACACAAAATTAAACAAATGTAAAAGAGCAGATAGTTGACGACCAGCACTCCTAAATATGCGTCACATTTCACACAGTTCTGCTGGTTGCTGATAAATTTGCTGCAGTTTACAGTTCGCACTATGAGACTCATATTGGCCACAATATTGAGAAAAACACTGTAGTTAGCAACCTGTTATGTCTGATGTGTGTTGGCTGAGCAAGATATATATGTATAATTTTATTATTTATTTTTACAAAAGAAAAGAAGTTGAGCACTTTTAAACACAGCTGTTTAACACAAAATAACAGACCCAAGTTGACCAGTGTGAGAAAAATAACAAATTTGCGTACACATGTAGGAGCTTTGTCCTGGTGATCTCTTAGTTTCAGTGATTTGCCTCGTTGAATGTTCACATTGAGCTCTGGTTCTCTTTATTCATGCCTCCTTTCAAAGCTTCACTGTTCTGTGATCCCTCTTTTGGCTGGCTTTGCAGCACGGGACCAATCTAGAGAGTTCTGCATCAGTCAAAGTGAATAGAAGCCTGCGAAGTTGGCAGTGCACTCTGCTGACAGCAGGGAAATGCTACATGATAGCTGGTGATAAACGGTTGGTGTAAAGGAATGAGGTGTTGGTGTTGAACTGTATCGCTGGCATCATGATGGGCCCCGATGTCATTATTTTGTGCCTGTCATTATCAATGACACAAAGACGTATCAAAGCAGGTTGAATGGAACAGAGTGGCAGTCAGTGCGAGTGCACAAGCATGAAACACGATCAGACCACTGAGCTGAATAGAGGTTGTATTGTGCCAAATACGTGAGAGAGGGGAGCGGAGGCAGAAAGATTGAGGGGCATTGCTTTCATATCTTGTCACCCACTCACTTAATAATGCAGGCATGTCCTTGTCGCTGTGAAAGAAGCATAGTTTGTTTGTATGAATATGTGCTCACGGCCCACCATTGTTTTTTTTTTCTTTTTTTTTGCCAGGAAAATAAAGATCTTTGTTTATAAAACTCCGTCTTGAGAAACCCTGCCCTCTGCCTTCTTGTTGCCCAACTTTACAATTCTCTGAGTTAAACTCTCAACCCTGCATGATTTGTTTAATCCTCCAAGTTGATTAATTATTCACAAGGTTATTATATTTCTTCAGTTTCTTTGAAACTACTTGAACAAACTTGGACTAAATGCTCCTTGTTACTGCATTCAGATTTGCAGCAACACTTTATTTAACTCAGAGCAACAATAAAAATACAGCTGACTTCTTTTTAAGGTATTTTATGTGGGTTTTTTGGCATTAAAACTAGCAAAAACTCAGACAAAGAGGTTTGGCAGGGAGAGGAGGAAGTGCTGGCAGAAAAAAATTCAGGTTTTTGCTCATGTGATCTAAACTTGAGTCACCAGGATGCCTCTTGTGTACCTTTTAGTCTTTTGTCTCTGATAAACTCCAGTTGACCTTTTCATTGCTTGGGTATTTCTTTTCTTTTTCCTCTCTCTGCTTTTTTATCTCCAAGTTGTGCTTTCATTCACTATTAAATGAGGGCACTGCCACACTTGGATGTGCAGTGACAAATTGGCACAGAGGAGGCAGATGGTGATGGGGAGGAGACTGGTTGTCATGCCATTTGCTGCAGCGACATGAATTGATCTCTGTGCCGCAGAGCAACCACACATGCTCCTCTTGTGTAATCTTGACTTTGGTTTCTTTGTGCATGCACACACACACACACACACCAACAAACTCTCCTCATACATTCCACCCTGCACCAGCATTCGGTCCCCGTTAGTATCAATGATGTGTGCAGTGGAGGCGTTCGCTTACTGTCAGAGGGTCCTCGCTTGGATCCGCTCAGAAAGCCAAAAGAAATGCTGAGGGATTTAACAAAGTGACAGAGCTTAGACTAATGGTTGGCTGCTGGGACCAGGAGAGCCCTAATGTACAACCTGCTATAGGAACACTGAAACAATGAGGACTTGTACACAACAGCAGGCTGAATGTTAGCACACTGTTCTATTTACAGAACTGTTTTCTTAATGTTTACCTATCAGGCTTTAGTGGCGCTTGACTAAAATCCCAGTAGATATTTTTACTGCTATATGAATTTTAGGAGGGTCATAGTTTGTCTGACAAGGACTGGCATTGCTCATTAGGTCAAGTTCCAGAATGAAAAACTGCTCTTTCTTTACAATTTTTTATGTTTTTTATTTGACTTTTTTTAACCAAGAAGGTCTAAAAACCTATTTTTCAGGGGAGTCCTTCCTAAGAGGAAGCAAAACAAAGTGATTCAACAAGTTCCTAAAACTGGGCTTAATTTGCTCAGATTATGAAGAACTGTGTTATGATTAGTGCCTGTGCATTCAATATTTTAATTAACTGAACCCTTTTGGCTGTAATGAGTAGCAGAAATATGTCAGGTTCACAAAGGGTTGAATGATGACAGATGTCATTGTGTTGATCAGAGAAAAACAGAAAACAGAACATTTCTAAATCAGTCAGCAGACCTAATCTTCACAGATTGAGAGCTTCATATGTTCCAGTTTGATTGCAGGGGATGTGTAAAAAGGGGTGGGGGGACAAGCTAAAGTTTGAAGAAGCTCTTGTAACAGTTTTCACTCTAAGAAACAGAATGTAAAATACATTATTTTGAAAAATGTCATTTAGACAGACATTATGTTAATTGAAACAAAGTCCTTACTGATGACTCTTTTTATGAAGATGAGATGTAATTAGCTGAGCAAAAAATATTTCCAAACTAATTAAAAATCATGTAAAAACAATAAGACTGTAGCACTCTCCACAGCCTCGGGCCAAGTTTCACTTTTTAGAAACGACTCAAATTTGAACAGTTATTTTTTTACACTTTTAAGTGACATTTTGTTGTTGCAAGCAAGACTCCTTGCATAAAGGTAAAAAAAGCATGTACTTAAAAAACGTAAAGCAAGTGGCTTGCAGAAACAAAATCAGTCAATCAAACATGCTCTTTTTGTCCACATACATTTTTTTCATGACTGTTAAGAAGGTTTATTTGTTACCTAAAAATAAAAAAGTCTGCTGAAGCATCAAAAGAGCACCGATAAAATATTTATACAAGGACCCAGCAGCATTTCTTAAACTTCCAGCTTCACTTTAAGTCACAGGTCTTGTTCAAAATTCTGGGTTTCCATTCTGTTTAGTCCTAAAGCAACTGGAGCTGTGATGTAAAATACAAAAAAACATTTTCTCCAAGGAAAATTTACAGGATGACTATAAATTTTGGACAAAGTCAAGCTCAAGTAAAACACAACTAACACTGGTGTAACTCGTTTGGACTTGTTCAAGTGTGGAAAAACTATGACCAGGTTGTTTCTTTTTTTTCTTTTTTATGCTAACCAACAGTTGTCAGGAGTAGTACCATTGTGTGAATTTATTACCTCCGCCAAGGGGAGGAGGTAATGTTTTCAGTCGCGTAAATCTGTCGTTCTGTCTGTCATTA